TAGTTCACAAACATAAATTAGATTAAATACATAAGGTATCAAAAGATTACATCCAAACCCCAACAAGAGATCAAAGATCTTACCTCCTCCCTCTTAGGGTTTTGTGTTCCTCTCTCTAAAATAAATGAAGAGAGATAAGTTCTGATGTAAGAAATGTTACAAAATGGAATTATGACCTTAAAATCAATAAAAACACTTAAATAATCCATTCAGGATCTGTCATGTTTGCCTAGCGAACAGCTAGCGAAGCCTTCGCTCTGATTTCGCCTAGCGAACTTTTGGTCCTTTCGGTTCTGTCCAAGTCTGGGAGTGTTCGCTACCTGCTCGCCTAGCGAACGTGACAACATTTTGTTGTTTGCATGCTGTCTTGGTTTCTTTGTCATATTTCTTGTGTCTTAATTTCCATTTGTTTTGTGCCTAATTCCTGCACAATAACACACAAATCAAAGGTACCAAGATATTTTCACAATATATTGCAAACCAAACAAAGCAAGAGTGGTTTTCAACACTTTCTTGACAAAAATGAGTGAAAGATGCCAACATTTGATAGATCAAATAAGTGAAATTTGGCATCTAACAACCTTTAGGCATTGGCCTCATTCCACAGTGCCAGTCTTTTCCATCATTTCCAAAGATTGGTGAGAGAAACATACATATGATTGTTTTTCATGATTTGTTAGTAAATAACTTGCAAACACACAAATCTAATCATGCAATAGAAAAATATATAGACCACATGTGAAGATATTTTGAATGAGGCCACTATAAACATGTTAAATGAAACACACAATGGTTGCACTAGAAATTTTAGGAAATGAACACTCATAACATATGTCATACACATGATATATCACATGCCTTTGAATAATAAACAGGTAAAAGAAAGAAACTTACTTACAAAGCGAAAATTGAAATGATATTACCTTACCGTATGCATGACGGAGGATGCACAAGCATTCCACAATGAACTCCTGAACGAAAGTTGGAATAATGAAAAACGTGCCACAAATCAATCAACAACAACTATCTTACCACCTTTCACTTTGACAAAGTATCCAATAGTGTGATTTGTAATGAATCCAAAAAAGTTATTGATTTAACGATCATCCCTTTTTATTGGACTTTCATTCTTGTCATTTTCATGATAGATATCTTGCTCCTCCTCAAGTTTCATCGTCTTAGGTTGATCAATCCCTTGTTCGATGTTATTGAGTATGTCTTTTGAGGATATGTCTATTTCATGAGTTGAAATACCTTTTCTACATTTCTTGGATGGAAGCATTATAAGTAATCTATACACTTTTATCAATTAAAGAACATTAGTTATTGACTTCCTTGGTAACACAACCCTTTTTCCTTGTCACAAAGTCAAAGACATAAGGAGGCGTCACCCGTATCATGTCTTGATCAACCACAAACGAGATCTCATACTCTCTTCATAGAGCCAAGATATTTATCCTGCAAAATTAACAAAAAATGCTAGGTACCCAATTTTCATTTGGTCCTTAAGGGTGAGGGAAACCTTGGTTGCACTTAGGAAACCATTGAAAAACTCACTTAGGCAAAAGAAATTTTCTCAACTTGCATTTTGCAATGATATGACCCTTCTTGCAATAAAAGTGATAAGTTAGATGATGAAAAGAGTGACTTTATCTATTTTGATCCTTTTCAACACAGTTATACCTTCTATAAGTATTATGAGAAGGCATATTATGCCTGGTAGTATCAATAGAAAAAGTGACATTTGGTTGTAATTCCTTGTCCAACTTAGCTTGGAGAGTATTTACCTCTCTTTGCCAAATGTGACAAGTTTCATAACCGAACCGTGAAGGTTCTTGATCATCATCTTTAAATTTTTAAATATCTATCATAGGTTGCTTGAGAGCTTCCATATTATTTTCGGTTTCCAAAACTTTAGCTTCTAAATGTGCAAAAATTCTTTTGTTTGAAGTTAACTTTTTAAAAGCGTCTACGACTTCTCTATGTAGATTTTCAAAAGCTTTTTTCAACTCGAAATAATATAATTCATCAACATGTTCATATTTAAAGTGACTTACATTCTTTTCTTTTCACGATAATAAACCGAGAGAAAAACATTTATCACTTCTTGCTTATCATTTGAGCTTTCATCACTTGAGGAATCGTTATTGCTTTCCCTCACAATATAAGCTCTTCTAGACTTGCTATATTTCTTGTGATGGTCTTTCACTTTATCTTTCTCTATCAATGGACACTCCATCTTGTAATGCCTGTTTTTTCTACAATTGTAACATGAACGTCTTGATATTCCTTTCTTGTCATCATCTTCCTTTGATGAGTTTGATTGTCTTCTAAGTTTGATGAGGTTTTTATCTGAGAACTTTACACCATTTCTTTTGATGTATTTGTTGAATCTTTTCACAAAAAGTCTCATATCTTCATCATCATAATTCTCGCCATTTCTTATTTCACAATCACTTTGCTCATTGGTTGAGGACTTTGAACTTAAAGCCTTTAGAGCAATAAACTTCTTTTCTTCCTCGTTGTCTTTACGTTTCTCTTTCTTCATCTTCTTCTCATGATTTTTCTCATGTTTTCCCAAGCAAGTGAGTTCTTGCTCATGTTCTTTTAGCTTGCTAAATAAAGTTATGAGATCAAATGTTTAAGATCATTTGATTCTTTGATCGCGATGACCTTGGGTTGCCATTTTCTATTAAGACACCTCAAAACTTTATTAGCAACTATATCAGTTGATATAAGATTATCTAGAGCCTTCAAGCGATTTATGAGATGTATGAACCTCTTTTGCATGTCGGCAATGATTTCACCATGCTTCATGCGAAATAGTTCAAACTCTTTATTTAATGTATTGATTCTAACTTGTTTGACCTTATTAGTTCTCTCACGAGAAACTTCTAATGTGTCCCACATAACTTTGCGGTCTCACAATGAGAAACACAATAATATTCATCAACACCAAGTGCGGATATGAGAATATGTTGTGCCTTCCAATCACGTGACCATAATTTCTTATCATTATCATCCCATTATGCTTCCGGTTTTGGCACGACGACACCTTGAGCATTGGTCAGTGTAATTTGATTAGGACCATTGATGATGGCTTCCCATACACCCATGTCAACAAAAAAATTTCAAATGGTTTTCAAAAGAATTTACAAAACAAATTAATTGCAGAAATGATGAACTCAAAAATTTGCAAACGAAAGTAAGAGAGAGAGTACACAAGGATTTATTTAGGTAGTTCCTCAATCAGCCTCGTTATGGGTACGTCTGCCCTCAATTTAAACTCGAATTGAGATAGTGAAATTAACCTTACTTTGTAAATTATAGTTTACAAGAAAAATGTAGCAATGCAACCATACGAACCTTATGTTTGATGTTGGTGTGTGTGTATATATATATATATATATATATATATATTTAGGTAGTTCCCCAATCAGCCTCGTTATGGGTACGTCTGCCCTCAATTTAAACTCGAATTGAGATAGTGAAATTAACCTTACTTTGTAAATTGTAGTTTACAAGAAAAATGTAGCAATGCAACCATACGAACCTTATGTTTGATGTTGGGGTGTGTGTGTGTGTGTATATATATATATGTGTGTGTGTGTGTGTGTGTGTGTGTGTGTGTGTGTGTGTGTGTGTGTGTGTGTGTGTGTGTGTGTGTGTGAGCAAGTATAAAACACAAAAGGAATGGAAAACAATGAAAAATTTCAAGATTTTTAATGTATAGGTTGACCTATGCAAGTCATGTGTCGACCTGTAGAGGCGACACATCTAACAGAGTCTATACGCTTTAAAAATGCAACACATGAGTCGACCTATAAAACATATGTGTCGGCTTGTAGAAGAAATTTTCTTCTATGTGTCGAGCTATAATATGTATGTGTCGGCCCGTAGAAGAATGATACTTTATGTGTCGACCTATGATACGTATGTGTCGACCTGTAGGCAATTTTCCACATAAAAATGAGTTTTGATGCATGAATCTGTTTTAAACCTTTTCGAACATATTGTCATGCTCCCTAATACTAAAACACACAACTAGACTCAGATGATACCGTCTAATGTACATAAACGCTAAAATATCCTAGTTCTGACATCATTCAAAATACATCTAATCGGAAAGTTACTCTCACAAATAATATCATTTGTAATTTGTTATTTTGATAGTATTACATATTCTGGATGATTATAATCCATATCATTTTCATCTTATTACATTAATGTATGGTTTAATTGATAAAAAATTTATTATGATAGTATATTTATAATACATGATCTATTACACCAACATATTTTTTAAAAAAGTTAAATTTTACTAACTAAATGATGAACACAAAAGTGTATATGCGTATTTTATAATGGAGATGCATCTCCAGACTAAATTATGATAAATTGAGGGTGTCTCAGTTAAGAATAAATGATATACATGTAAGTTCTTACATAAGTGCATATTCAGACTAATTTCTAAAGAAAAAATATATGAATCATTTATATATGAATTAATATAAATAAGCGAGTCCAAAAATATACTTCAAAATTAAAAAGTACATTTTCGATTTTTTATAAAATATAATTTCAAATTAAGAGAGACATTTTAAAACTTTTATAGAGTAATTTTCCACCCGGTTAAAAATTAGGGTGGGAAAAATTGAAGTTGAATGTACTCAATAACCGTGGCCCATATTTATACGTGTGGACTGTGGTGGAGTCAAGAATGATCCCCAGTCCCATTCCGCAGGGGTAAGGACTAAAAACGAGAGACAGACTACTATTTTCTTTTGACTAAAAGACTAAAGTCATATTAGCATTAACAAATTATTTTACTTTATTTTGACACAAATTAACAACTTAATTACAATTAAAGTTCTCTACCAAACCCAATAATTTCTCAAATACAATCTGTTTTTATTTTTCCTTTCATTATCTTATCAATGCAAATTTTCTACCAAACAAATTAAATTAAATTATCATTCGTTCACCTTCAATTTGAATTCATGGCTTGTAACTATAGCCATGACTCTACACAACAAAGATCACTGATGATGTTGCTGTTAACAGTTTTGGTGCTGAGTTTATCTTCACGGAGCTGTAACAGTTTCGGCACATTCGGTTTGGATATTCATCACAGATTCTCGGATCCAGTTACCGAGATTCTAGGCATTGATGATGGTGAATTGTTGCCTCGTAAAGGTACTCCTCAATACTACGCTGCTATGGTTCATAGAGATCGCGTATTTCACGGTCGTCGACTTGCCGGGGATTACAATTCGCCGGTTACTTTCGCCGCCGGCAATGAAACTCATCGGATTGCTGCTTTTGGATTGTATGCCACCTCATCTCCCACTTTTGTTATTTTCTCTTGATTAAAATTTTTCCTTTTTTTAATTAAATTATAATGATATAGTACATATAATAGCAAAAATAATCAATTTTAAAAAAAGAATGCTAGTTTTCTCTATTTAATTTTTTTATATAATATCCATAGTGGAACCAAATCAATGAATGGTGAAGTAGAATTTTAGTATGCCGGAGCAAATTTCCAGTGTGACGGAGAGGGTGACCTGCAAAGTTAACAGTGAAAAGTTTAAATCAGTGAGAGAATAAAAAGTGATGCGAGAGCGAGAATAAACTTTAATACCTAAAATGATATGTTATTCTTCTTATATAGTGAGAGCGGTTAAAACCGTCTGCGTGAGGTGAAGGGTGTTGTGTGGATAGCCGTTGAATCTAAGCAGGCGGCAGTAGATGTGTATGAAGAGTGGAATTGCCGGGATGAATGAGGGATCACATGCTCCACGCGCTTTACCGCTTGTGGTGCTCTTGGGTCTTTCGCATTGGGTCTTGTGAACGACCAGAACAATACCCAATCGACTATTCTTTTTAACTTGTTTTATGGGAATATTAATTGAAAGAAATGTTTGGAATGAAAACATTAAATAGGGTGAAATTATTTAGAATTTGACAAATGTGACATGTTTTTTTGCTTATACATATTCCAGTCAATAGTGAGTATTTTCTATGTTGTTGTGTATGTTAGTAACAATTTCTTCTGGTTATTTGGATTTCAGTTTGCATTTTGCCAATGTTTCGGTTGGGACACCACCTTTGTGGTTTTTGGTGGCATTGGATACCGGCAGTGACTTGTTCTGGTTACCTTGTAACTGTACCAGCTGTGTTCGCGGTTTAAAGACACAAACCGGAAAGGTTTGCACTCTGCGTTGTCTATTTTGCTGGTTTAAATTTGTACTCAATTTTAGACGAACTCTTGATCAAAATATTTGTATTAGTACTGTTTCCTTGGTGGTAAATGGTAATAGTGAAGAGCTTATATGAAACTTCATTTTCGTCTTGATTAATTGTTAGATATCTTGATGGTTGGTCCTATGGTTTCTGTGAATCCTAAATAGAACCTGTCTCTCTTTAATTTTGTTTCATTTGCAAAATTTTCTTTTGCAGGTAATTGATCTTAATATATATGAGCTTGATAAGTCGTCTACGAGGAACAGTGTTCCATGCAGTAGCAACATGTGTAAACAAACACAATGCCCTTCATCTCGTAGCAGCTGTCGCTACGAAGTTGAGTATCTTTCAAATGATACTTCATCTTCTGGATTCTTGATAGAAGATGTGTTACACTTGGTTACAGATAATGATCAAACAAAAGATGTTGACACACACATTACTATTGGGTATAATACTCAAAATCTTACTGATAAATTTTATTGACTGTATGTTATTTTGAAGCCTCAATGTATTCTTGGCCAAATCACTTCAGTTTGCTTTTAACAAGGTTGGAATATGAAATGATATACAGAAGTTGATGGCCTGAGCCACTAATATTTCAACTTCATTGCTTCTGTTTGATTCTCTTTCGAACTGTTGTTTCTACAATAAACCTTTTTGTTACCAATGTTTCTCATATTTCTACAATAAACCTTTTTGTTACCAATGTTTCTCATATTTCTACAATAAACCTTTTTGTTACCAATGTTTCTCATATTTCTACAATAAATCTTCTTAAGATCAATTTACGGAATTTGGGGTTGACTCTATTGCAGTTGTGGCCAGGTTCAGACTGGTGTGTTTCTAAATGGTGCAGCTCCTAATGGTTTATTTGGACTTGGAATGGAAAATGTATCTGTTCCAAGCATCCTAGCCCAAAAGGGGCTTATTTCAGACTCATTTTCAATGTGTTTTGGATCTGATGGTTCTGGAAGAATCACGTTTGGTGATACAGGCAGCTCGGATCAAGGAAAAACTCCATTCAACCTCAGGGAATCGCAGTAAGTGGATATTTTGATTTTCTCATTTTCTTTTAACAAGTTATCACTTAAAAGAAAATGTGAATAATAGTGTCGAACTTCACTAGTGCTTATTTGAATTTTGACCTTTGATATTTCTTTCAAGTCCAACATATAACATCACAATTACACAAATCATTGTGGGAGGAGATGCTGCTGATCACGAGTTTCATGCAATTTTTGACTCTGGTACCTCATTCACGTACCTAAATGACCCAGCCTATACTCTTATTTCCAAGAAAGTAAGTAATTAATTCTATAGTTTATTAATAACAAATAAGGAGTTTCATGTCATTTGATTAGCTCTAAATTTTCGCTGTGTATTTCAGTTTAATTCTCTAGTCAAAGCTGTTCGACATTCACCCCTGTCACCTGACTCCGAACTCCCCTTTGAATATTGTTATGACATAAGGTAATAAAAGTTTAAAAGAAACCATCAAATTTTCTTGTTCTTTTCAAACAATTATTAGGTACTGAGTTCCACTTTACCTGCAGTCCAGATCAGACAATTGAAGTTCCCTTTTTGAATCTAACCATGAAAGGTGGAGATGATTACTATGTCACGGATCCAATAGTACCAGTTTCTAGTGAGGTGAGAACATAAGTTCAATTTTATGGTTTATCATTCCTAATGATTCTTTTAGCTTCTTAAACTCAAATTTCTTTTCTGATATCCAGGTTGAGGGAAATCTTCTTTGTTTGGGAATACAAAAAAGTGACAATTTGAATATCATTGGACGTGAGTATATATATAACAGAAGATTCATAGCGAATATATGATAAAGATTTAATTTATATATACACTCAGTGTAAAAAAGGTTGGACTTATGCATTCACATCATTGATGAGTTAAAAACATATGCATGTGTAAAACCTTTTTTACTCTACAATCTATATAAATTAAACTCTTTTATTAAACTGTTCCTTTTATTCTTAGTTGAAACAATGTCATGACAAGAACAAGTATGACTTGATGCAGAAAACTTCATGACTGGTTACCGTATAGTTTTCGATCGCGAAAACATGAATCTTGGTTGGAAGGAATCAAACTGTGAGTATATTTCACCTCTTAAGCATTAAGATCCTGCATATTTTACATCTCTTCCACATTGATTGTAGTTGAAAACTCTGCGATATGAAATTGTTCTCAGGTACTGATGAAGTGCTATCCAATACAAGACCTATAAACAAATCTCACTCACATGCTGTTTCCCCTGCTATTGCTGTGAATCCTGTGGCTAGATCAGAACCATCAAGTAATACTGGCAGATTTTCACCTAGTCAGTCATTTAGGATGAAGCCTACTTTTGCATATATGGTGCTCCTTTTTTCACTTATAGCCATTTTTTAGCTTCTTTCTGGTATTCCATTATGTATGTATTTGTTTAAATTAATAGGGCTTTTGAATTTTGTTATACAAGTCGAGAAGTAATATTGCTTCTTTTTTTAACAGCATTAATTTGATCATGGGGTTGTAAATAACACCTAGCAATAGCTTATTGTATTTTGTAAAGTACAGAAATTCCCATTCTCATGTTATATATTACTGTATATTAATATATTATTCCACAGTTGGTTGGCATCTTTATTTTTTAATTTTTTATTCAATATTAATACATTGCAATAGCACATATTCAATATTAATAAATGTTGGTAAGAAAAAAAATAAAAAAAGTTAAGGGAATAACCAATGTATTTATTTCACATGAACTGATAATTAAAATATATATATATATATATATATATATATATATATATATATATATATATATATATATATATATATATATATATATATATATATATATATATATATATATATATATATATATATATATATATATATTATATCAACAATATATCAATCCAAGTGGCAGAAATTTTGACCCTTTGGAATCTCAATGATAGTGTTTCTAATAAGCACCCTTTGGACTATAATCCACATTACCACTTAAGCTCCAATAATTATGTCTTTAGAAAAAACTTGTCACTATCATAACTAACAAAGCTAAAAGGCTTAGAATGCAAGTTTAGGAAGCAAAAGCAACAACCAAGATGGCTCAACCATAACCATCTTAGATTCTTCCTTAATTGAGGTGTGTCTAGCCTTGTTGGTAAGCAACAAAGTGGCTGTAATCTAACTTTAGCATGGCCTAATATCAAGTTAACATAAAAGAGCCAACAGACACATCTAACTTTTCATTTCTCATATTAGGAACAGGATAATATACCAGAAAGAAAAAAAAATGATTGCCTTTTGGTAATGAAATGCTTTAACATTACTACATTGACAATCATACTTACCAAATTGATTTTCTTGTGCTACATCATGTCAATAACTAACTAATCTCTCTTTTTCACTCTATAAAAACCAATTTGTTCATATTTTATTTCCACAACTAGAAGCTAAAAAACATTGAATTAGTAGTTTTAATTGGCTTGTATGGCTTTCATGGTTGCATCATTCTTGAATTTCATTCTCTTGTTTTCATTAGTTTCAACAGGGAACTCACTTAGTTATAACTACTATGAAAAGACATGCCCTGATGTAGAGTTCATTGTTGCCAAGACAGTGAGAGCTGCCACTGCTTCGGACAAAACTGTCCCCGCAGCACTTCTTCGATTGCACTTCCACGACTGCTTCATTCGGGTAATGCTACAAAAATAAAGTGAATCATGCATTTGACGTAGCCATGTTGACAGGTCAAGATTGGATGGCCTTAATTTCGACTTTGGTGAATTTCGTCCAAAATACAAAGTTGAAATATGAAACGTCTAATCTTGATCTGACAGCTCATACAGAGACAATGGACTGATTGCTTGAACGCACTAAATCCAAATTTGAAAGAGTCTACCTTCCATACGCTTTTCTGTCATGCATATATACATATTGTATTATATCTGATTCTTTTTGCTTTTTCTAAATTTTTCGAAGGGTTGTGATGCATCTGTGCTGCTAAACTCAAAAGGAAGCAACAAAGCAGAAAAAGATGGACCACCAAATGTATCTTTGCATGCATTTTTTATCATTGATAATGCAAAGAAAGCGATAGAAGCTGCATGTCCTGGTGTAGTGTCTTGTGCCGATATCCTAGCTCTAGCAGCAAGGGATGCTGTATTTCTGGTATAATATAAACAAAGCTAAACACTAACTTCAAAAGACTATCATCACATAACTAACTAATAATCCAATATAGCTTTTACTTATTAACTTCCTTAAGTTTTGATTTATAGTCTTATACAATATACAACCATGGTTTATGTGTATGCAATATTGTTACAGTCTGGAGGTCCAGGTTGGGATGTTCCTAAAGGAAGAAAGGATGGAAGAATATCCAAGGCCAGTGAAACCATACAGTTACCATCACCATCTTTCAACGTATCGCAACTACAGAAAAGCTTCTCTCAAAGAGGTCTGTCATTGGAAGACTTGGTAGCTTTATCAGGTAACAAATTTTATATACCAAAACTTCATCATTTACTAAGATAAATTGAATTAGCAACAAAATTTAGTGAAAAGAAAATGAATTTTCTTCCGACACATTAAAAACTCTCACTTTGCTTGAAAATCGAGACTCCATTAGCTTATAAGCACCCACTCTCTTCAACCAACTAGACACCTTTTAACTAAAGACAAAACAATGAGAGTTTATAGACAAGACCGAAAGAAGATAATACCTCAATCAAATGATGTAGTGCACTTGAGGTGATTAGAACATTGACGAATATTGACACTATATGTGAGAATTGAGGGCACATGCCACGAAAGACGGTTGAAATGCCTACTAGTCCCTTAGGTTTGATTGGGGACTACTTTTCCGTACTTGTGAATCATGAGTACACAAAAAAGTCTCCCATTATTTGAGAATCACGGCTAAACATAAGTTTATAAACACACACTCCTCAATCCGCTTACACACAAGACCTAAAGTGGGATAATACACGGATTTAGTTAAAAGATGCATTACTGAGTTGAGGAGTGGTGTGTTTCTAAACCCCTTAGCTTCGATTTTCAAACAGTGTGATATTTTTAGTTAACGAAACAAAATTCATTCTAATTTTTCCTTTATTTTTTATTTTTTATCTCAAAGTTTCATAGTTAATTCAATTATTTATTGTATCTTATTATAATATATGCATGAGTATGGCTTATAGTAATGTCTCATTTTACCCTTATGTAGGAGGACACACCTTAGGTTTCTCTCACTGCTCATCCTTCAGAAACAGAATCCATAACTTCAATGCTACACATGATGTGGACCCTTCCTTAAATCCATCATTTGCATCAAAGCTAAAATCAATCTGTCCAATAAAAAATCAAATAAAGAATGCAGGCACCACCTTGGATGCTTCTTCAACTACATTTGACAATACATATTACAAGTTGATCCTCCAAGGGAAGGCCATCTTTTCGTCTGATCAAGTTCTTATTAATACTCCAAGTACCAAAGATCTTGTTTCAAAGTTTGCTACCTCACAAGATGCATTTTATAAGGCTTTTGTGAAGTCTATGGTCAAAATGAGCAGCATCAATGGTGGCCAAGAGATTAGGAAGGACTGTAGAGTGGTTAATTAGGAAGCTTTTCTTCGTTTAATTCTAGTTGATATTTGATATTCTGTTTGGTTTATAGTTTATGCATTCTCTATTTGGTAAACTTAATAAGCTAGATAGTTTATAGCTTATTATTTGATTGAAGTGTTAAGTTTCCTTCATCAAATTTGTGGTGTTAGCTAAATGAGTATATATCTCAATTGTTTGTGGAGTAAGTTTGTTTGAGAAGCTATTTTGAAATAATTTTAAGTTTATAGTTTATCAGTTTATTTTAATTTAATCCGTACATTTTTTAATTTAAACCTCTTTTACAGTCTCTTAAATTAAAATAATATAATAGAATAATTTATTATTTATAAAAAATATTTTTTAATAAAATTAAAAATTAATTTAAAAGTTGAAGCTGCACTAACAACTCACGTCCATTTATTTTTTTTTTAAATAACATTTTTAACTTTTTCATTTCAATAATAATTAAAACAATAAAAATGTTCTATTAATATTGTAAAATTTTAAAAATAAAAAGCAATTTCGTTTTAGAATCCCTTCGGTCAATCAAACATAATTAATTTTTTTTCTTCTCACCTTTCTTCTGTTTCTCTCTTCACTTATTCAATCATTAACTTTTTCTTAAAACACTTATGTAGTACACTTCATTTCTTCATTTCTCCAATGTCATTCATAATATTTGATTTTATTAAATCAATAACCAAAAATTTTATGTCACTTTTTATTTCGGTCAATTATTTGATGATTTTTAGAATGTATGATCTTGAGTCGATCATTAAAATATATTTAAATGTATAACCAAAATTCAAATCTAAATTGCACATGCCTAAAGGACGTATACCTATTGAAGGGTAATTTAGTATTTTAGTATGTTACTTATGTGGCCCTAGTATTTGAGTATAACTAGACTAGTGATAGTCGTAATTTATTTTATCAATCTATCTTTCGTACAACTTTGTAGTCGTCATTGCAGAGCAATAACTATATTATCTCATTCTTATTCTTTTCATCACCTTGTAAACTTACATTTAGTATCTAGAGCTCCGGTTCGGATCCACAGAAAAACAGGGGAAACACGGGTGAAACGGTGAGGTGTTGTGTGATTGATTTCGTTTCTTGAATTCGTGCTGAATTTTGAACAGAATCATAACAGAATCACATTTTCTGATTCTGCGGGGTTGGGAAATACTGTGTTTGGTGAGATCTGAGCGACTTGCACAAGGTTGAAGATGAACGGAAATGGTAGTTTGAGCACCAAGCTTCCAGAGTTCGATGGCAAGAACTGGAATCGTTAGATGATTCAGATGTGTGTGTTGTTTGTCGCTCAAGATGTTATTGATCTCGTCAATGATGGTTACGTTTCAGTTGCACTTCCAAAAAAATGCAACTGATGCACAGAGAAATGCTCAGTGTGATCTGAGGAAGAAAAATCAGAAGGCGTTGATCTACATCTATCAGTGTGTGGATATGAACGTGTTTGAGAAAATCGTTGATTCGATGACGACGAAGGCTACATGGGACACACTGGTTAGGTGTTATAGTGGTGACGCATTTGTGAAGAAAGTGAAGCTTCAGTCTCCACGAAAGTAGTATGAGAATCTCAACATGAAGGACAACGAGAAGGTATCTGAGTACATCTCCAGAGTGATTTTGATCACGAATGAAATGAAAGTTTGTGGAGAAACCCTTTCTGAATAAGTAATCATTAAGAAGGTATTGAAATCCTTTACTCCTCAGTTTGATTACATTGTGGTGGGAATAAAACATTCTAAGGATCTAGACACCATGAGAATTGAAGAGTTGCAAAGCAGTCTAGAAGCACAAGAGTTACATTTGACTGGAAGAACTTCTGAAAGAGAAGTAGAGCAACAGACTCTGAAATAAGCTTCTGGTAAGAAGCATAAAAAACATTCTTGGTCAGAAGTCAGGAGAAGATTTGCTGGTGTTCAGAAGTCAGAAACCTTAACTTTTAATATGCAGAAAAATGCTCATAAGGGAAAAGAGAGGTATGACAAGAAGAAGATCCAGTGCTACTGTTGTAAGAAGTTTGGCCACTTCGCTGTTGATTGTTGGTCAAACAAGGAAAGGAAGTTAGAATAAGCAAACGTAGCCAGAAGAGATTCTGATGATGAATTTGTGCTATTGATGGCTTCTGAATCTAATGATACGAATTTGACAGACTAGTGGTATATGGACAATGATTGCTCAAATCATCTTACTAGAAATAAGAAATGGCTGGTTTAATTTAACTCTAGGAAGAGGACAAAGATCAAATGTGTTGATGATAAATACCTCAACGCTGAAGGTATGGGAAATGTCAGAGTCATTATGAACAATGGGAAAACAACATTGATCTAGAATGTGTGATATGCACCTTACATGAAAAGCAATCTGATGAGTGTAGGGCAACTAAGTGAGAAAGGTTTTTTAGTTACCACGAATGACAATCTTTTGAAGTTGTATAACTGTAATCATAAGCTAATTCTGGAGTCAGAACAGGGAAGGAATAGAACATTCAAGGTGAATGTCAGAATAGAAGAATCTGAATGCCTTAGTGCAACAAGTGTTGTGAAGGAAAGTGAGTTGTGGCACAGGAGATTTGGTCATCTGAATTTCAGAAGCTTAGGGCATCTGAATTCGAAGAAGCTGGTACATGAAATTCCTACAATTAAGAAGCCTGAGAAGTCATGCAAAGTATGCATGGAAGGAAAGCAACCAAGATTTCCATTTCCGTCATAAGTAGCTTCAAGAGAAAAGCATGTCTTGGGAGTAGTGTATTTTGATGTGTGTGGACCATTTCCAGTAGCATCGATTGGAGGGAACAAATACTTTGTGTCATTTTTTTATTGAATTCACAAGGATGACATGGGTATCCCTTATAAATTTCAAACTCGAGGTGTTTGCTGAATTCAAGAAATTCATAATGAAGGCTGAGAATCAGAGTGGTTGACTTTGAAGATTCTCATAACCTATAGTGGAGGTGAGTATAACTCCATTGAGTTCAGAAAGTTCTGTGAGGAGAATGTAATTGAGCATGAAGTTACTGCTCCTTATACTCCTCAACATAATGGTCTTGCTGAGAGAAGAAATCGTACTTTGCATGATATAACGAGAAGCATGCTGAAGGAAAATAAGCTTTCTCACACCTTATAGGGAGAAGTTGTTGCTACTGCAGCATATGTGCTCAACAGATGTCCAACAAAGAAATTGAAGGAAATAGTTCCTATTCAGAAGTGGACTGGAGACAAGCAAAGTGTTAGCCATTTGAAAGTGTTTGGTTTTGTATGTTACAAGCACGTTCTAGAAGCCAGAAGCTGGATGGTAGATGCAAAGTGATGTTACTGGTGGGGTACCACAATACAGGTGCGTACAAGCTTTATTGTCCAAAAACTAATAAAGTTGAATTCATCATAGACGTCATTGTAAAGGAATCAGAAGCTTGGGATTAAAATAAGTCTTAATCCAACTCTAGTGTGAGAACTTCTGAAGAAAAGTCTGAATTAGAAGTTTTTTGAAGATGAAGTAGACTCTGAGCTTTGATGGTGATTCTGACTCTAGAGAAGAAAGGTGAAGATGATTCTGATGGTGATTCAAATTCTGGGAATATTTCCGAATCTGAAGATGGTCAAGATTCTGGAGGGGGTCAACCTTCTGAAGCAAGAGCTTCTAAAGGAGAAGCTTCTAAAGATAGAACTTCTGGGGTTTCAGCATCCAAAGGAGATTCTAAACGAGGTCAGAGGCCACAGAGAGTCGGAAACATCCAGAGAAGATTTTCAGAGTATGACATGCTGCGAGATACCGAAATAGACTCTGGGGGAGAGGTTATTCAGTGTGCCATGGAAGTAGACTCTGAACTAGTAAGTACAAAAGACGCCCTCAAGAAGAAAGTTTGGATGAAGGCCATGAAAGAAGAACTTGAGGCTATTGAAAGAAACAAGACTTGGAAGTTAACTAAGCTTCCAAAGGAAAAGAAAGCCATCAGCGTCAAATGGATTTTCAAGGTGAAGCTAAATCTAAATGGATCAATTGGCAAACACAAAGTGAGGTTATTAGCAAGGGGATTTCTACAGAAACCTGGGCTGGATTATTCTGAAGTGTTTGCAATTATAGCGAGACATGAAACATTCAGACTGGTGATTGCAATAGCTGCTAACATGAACTAGCCTCTGATGCATTTAGATGTGAAATATTAATTTATGAATGGTCCATTACAAGAAGAGGTATATATGTCACAACCTCCTGGATTTGTTAAAAAGAATTAGGAAGGGATGGTGTACAAATTACATAAAGCTTTGTATGGATTGAAGCAAATTCCCAGAGCTTGGAATCTAAAGATTGATTCATTTTTCAAGGAGCAGGGATTTCAAAAATGTGAGATGGAGTACGATGTTTATGTTCAACATACCTCTAAAGGCAATATGATTCTGGTGTGCCTGTATATTGATAACATATTGCAAACAAGAAGTTCTGAACAAGAGATAGCTAAGTTCAAAAAGGTGTCGATGAATGAGTTTTAAATGACTGACCTCTAGAAAATAACATATTTTTTAGGGATGGAGCTTATGTACTCTAGGAAGGGTATCATTTTGCATCAGCTGAAGTATGAACTTGAGCTTCTAAAGAGATTTTTAAGCTGTAAAATTGTAAGGTTATTGTCACACCTTTAGAAACCAATCACAAACTGGATTTTGATTCTAAAGGTGAGGATATGGATGCTACAACCTTCAAATAGTTGGTTGGTTCTTTCAGGTATCTGTGTAATACTAGACCTTATATCTGCTATGCAATTGGAATGGTTAGTAGGTTCATGAGTAAACCTAACTGGTCTCATTACCAATCTGTTGTCAGGATTCTAAGGTATATCAAGGGAATTTTGAATTATGGAGTGTTATTCCCTTCTGGAAGAAAGACTAATTCAGAGCTGATAAGTTACTCAGACTCTGATTGGTGTGGAGATAGAGTTGACATGAGAAGTACTTCCTGATACTTGTTTAAGTTTCTGGGAGGTCCTATTT